GGGGGGAGGAGGGGGGTGTTGGGCCCAGCTGGGAGGGAAAGGGTACCTTTAATGTATTAAATTTCCTCCCAAGTGAAACTCATATTTTTTTGACATGTCGCTACCTCAGAATTACAAAGTTCTATTTGACTTTTTTGGCCTGTTTTGAGTTACTAAGACCATGAGATCAGAAACCAAAAGTTCTATCTGCTCCATCAAAATCGTAAGATTATTCAGAGTCGATATCAACATACTCAAAGAATTTTGCATTCAAAGAAGCTGGACATGCCGTGAAACTCAAAATCTTTGACGTCAAATTCTTCAAAACAAGGTACTGAGCAGATAGAAATTTGTAATTCTGAGGCAGCAATATACCACAAGGAATCTCCAGTAAAACTGACGGCTCTTCCATTATGCAAGCAGCTTGCAACACATGACACTTTTAGATTTTACTTTAGCAAGAGTTTTGCAACAAAAGTGCTTTTGTAATAAGTGTTTTACGGCACTTGCAATACAATAAGGTACTACAAGTGCCTAAGATTAGGAGGTGTTACAATAGAGTAAAAACACAAAAAAAAGGAGGGGAGAAAAGGATGATAGATGTCTGATAGGAAAGAAGGCATGTACTACATTTTTAAAATCCTGGGTTTTTTTTTAGTCCAGACCACTCAAAACAATTTTCCCACTTGGTTTTATTAAAAGTTTTATGGTGCTCACAACACAAATAGGTCATCTAAGTGCCAAAGATTAAATGGGTTACGAGAAACTAAATTATAAAGAAAAGAAGCAGGAGCAATAAGGGAGATAGATATTTGATAATACAGAAGGAGCATATCACATCAGAGCACCCACCAACCACCCACACAAAACTATCAATGCTATGTTCTCAATACAAGGTACATTATATAATTTGACATTACCGTCACCTTTCAGATCAAACCCAAAATAATCATATCCTGAGGGAGTTCAAGAGCGAGAGAAGAGATCAGGATTAAAGCCCCACAGACAGAGGAAGAAGTAAAAAAAAAAAGACCAAACAAAGGAATCCAGAAATCACCTATTTAAAACTGGAGTAGAATACCACATTGTTAATGGACAGATACCAAAAAAAAAGTACAAATAACTTGGTCAACGTTCAACGCAAAAAGCCACTGGTCTACTCTACTAATAAAAATACTGACATCAAATTGGCACTTGGTTCCGCCAGGGGAAAAAAAAATCAAACATCATTACTGTACCGATTTATCAATGCTCAGGTATGATTCTCAAATGAAATTAATTCCTCTCTCAACAAAGAAGGTTCTCTCCATCACCATTTAAGGTAAATTAAATAAAAAACAAAACAAATACGGCAAAGAACACAAAGATGGATATTGCACTCTGTCTTAAAAATACAAACGTTGATGAGAGAAAGGTAAAAAACAAGGGACAATAAAAGCTGCAAATCTAAAGCACAGATACAGAAGAGAACCAAACAAAGTGTGCCCTGTAAAATTTTGAAAATTAGAGAGGCGGGACTTTTTCAACAGCTACTGTCTCAGTGTGGGGTCCCTCCCACCTCATGAAAGAGAGACGCCTATTAACTTTGACCGCATTTAAATCTGGTCAAAAAACAAATTTATTCAAATCTAATTTAGTAGCTAGTTTAATTTTCTTCCAACTGATAGTGTGATTAGTAGCCACAGTGACAGTCTTTTTGTGTATGTGTTCTTCGTCAGATTACGAGTGTATATATATGTATTTGAAAGAAATGCTGTACATGAATGGACCAGTATGCGTGAAACAAAAAATATCTTATTTTATTGGGAAGTTCTTACAAACCACCAGGGAGTGGGCACTGTAGAAATTATCTTTATTTTTACTATTATTATCATTATTATTATTAGAAGCAGACTATCAGAAGAGAGAGAAGACGTAATTCAACCACCCCAACCACGACATTCCAGTGTCCCCACTGCAACAGACATTGTACATCCAGGATCGGATTGCACAGCCATAGGTGCGTCCACAGATGAGCTGTAGGATTCATCGTCATCTTCGGCAACGAAGGACTACCTACACACTGTTATTAATATTATTATTATTATTTTTATCATTATTATAAAGTGGAGACAGATCTACAAACTACAACCACAATAACCGATTACCAAATGCCAAGTGTATGAGAAATTTTGACACCAGAATTCTATTGCTTTTATTTATGGCACTTAAAACCCAAATATGTTTTATAAATGCCAAAGATTAGAGGAATTACTAGAGAGCGATGTTCAAAGAAAAGGAGGAGGAAAGATAAACACAATTTTGTTAGTAAAAAAGAAGCAGACCACACCAGAGAGCCAGCCAATCACCCAATGCAGAAGACTGAACATTCTCCCAAACCCCCCCTTCCCCTCACAACACATCACATCACAACAAGGCACACCTAGTCATATCACTTCCCATCCTGCCACATCACACGGGCATTGTGGATCACTCGATGGTCCCCATGGACACAATAACAACAACAACAACAATAACAACATGAACAAAGTATCACAAGATCATGGTCAGCTCACAAAATCTTAACCCTTCGAGCCCTCGCCACTGGTACACCGGTGGTGCGTATAACTGCCCGTATGCCTAGCCACCGGTACAGCGGTGAGTAAAACCCCATACCCAAACAGGGCCCACCTGGGACTAATCAGGCGTGGGGAACCGTGTTTTCTACACTGGACGAAACTGATTATTTTGAAGATCTTTCGGAATTAGATGCTGGTCATGATGAGGACAACCAAGAGTGGGATATTGAATGTAATTCTGACGATCACTTTAACATTAGTAATATATCGCTCAGGAGCTCAGTCAGAGGGGCAATGTAGCCTCAGGAGGTCAGGGCTAAAATGGGTTAATTTGTGGGATGCACAACTAAGAATCTTTTTTTTATTCACCCAAAAAGTCATGGTTCAACACAGACACTCTACCTGGAAGAAGCATTTCCAGAGGAAGATATTGCTATGCTTACCGAGAGAATGACACAGTACAAACCTTATATATTTCTCCAAGTACGAAGGAAGATAGACTTGTACATTAAATTCAGTTCCCTTCGAGACGCTAACAAGTAGTTTCAAAAGGCAAAACACTTAGCCCATTAAAGGAGTGGAGTAGTAGGGGCTAGACCGTAGCCTTCAATAAAACATTATTGCCAAGTTAAAATGACGATGGGACCACAAATTTTCAAAAGTAGTAGAGAGAGTTCATCGAATGCCTGTTTCTCAAAAGAGGACTCACAAGCAAAAAAAAAAAAAAAGAATAAATTTTTTTACAGCAAAACATGTTGTACTTTATTCTACCACTTCCATTAACAAAACTCCTTTAAAACCTTACCAAACAAGTCTGAAAAAAAACAAAAACAAATGCTATAAACCGAATTTTTCCAATAAAAAAGCAACAACAGTAGACTTCTTAAAAATACTGTCTCTATAAAAGACAGCCAACAAGTCACATCCTAAATACGCAACAACAACAACAATTCCAGGGCAGACTGAGATTTCAATCTATGAACAACAAAATCAGAGACATACAATGTCCTTTTCACTTGAAGAAAACACCAGCTTCCATTCTGCACCAACATCTACGTTAGGTTATACTTAGTCTTCATATAACTTCCCCCATTTCACGGAATAGGACAGGACCAAGATGATTTTTTTTAAAGTGACCAAACGAGAGCATCCGCTAGACTGGACAAAGTCCTGTGATCTAACACAGACAAAGATTTCATAAGGTAATTACGTTAAGTTTTAGTTTCCATGCATCACCCAACATTTCATGAAATAGAACAAGACGTAGACTGATTTTGAAAAAAAGATAAAAGAAGTCAACCACACTAGACCATCTACCAGGATGGATTCAGTCCTGAAACCCAACACAGACAAAGATTTCATTACGTTGCGTTTCATCAGTCTTCATGTAACTTCAAACACTTCACCAGAAACAGAATAGGACAAGACCAGGACTGATTTTATTTTAAAAAAAAAATAAAAAAAAGAAGTCGACCATATTAGTGTCCACCACACTGGACAAAGTCCAGGGACAGAACAGCACAGATGAAGACCCCATAAGGTGAACAACAGTGAAGTCAATGAGCTGTGAGGACAACCATTTGGCTACAACACATGGACCCCTGTACATCCAATTCTGAGCAAAATAATGTTTTAAAAGTGTAACTTACCACAGTGCAGTCTAAAAACTGTGACTTGACAAAAATCAACAACCTAGTGGAATGCATTGCACATATTGATATTCATATTATGTCGGGATACAACAGATGAAAAAACAGTTTGTCTAAACTTGGGTTTTAAATCATCTACAGCAGTACAAATAAATCGTCAACAAAACTAAGGTCTAAAAGTAAGCTATCGTATACCAAGCAAATAAAAAGTTTTTTTAAGAATCATTAATGCTATTTCTGGAAAACACAGTGATTTATAGTGTGGTAAGAAAAAAAAAACAACAACAACAACCACTAAGCAAATAATAGAAACTATCTTGAAAATACAGAAGAAGGGTAATTAAGAAAGGCATCACATTGGAGAGCGCATAATGTCATCTGTCACGACGCGTGCGACATGAGATGAAAATGAGATCCACATCCATATCTTGGCATCTAGGCGTGGATCACATTTAGGGAGTCATCGCAGACAAATCAGGCAGCAAGGACTCAGAAACTGACCCCATTCCTGTCTCGGAAGAAGCCAAGCCCGCTCTGGTTGAAGACCACGGCCACGGGGCTGGCGTAGCTCTCGATGAAGATGGGGCCTTCCACCACCGTCAGAGACTCGCCCGGTCGCTTCTCCGTGTAAACCTGGACGGAGGATGAGGTGTTGTTGTTGTTTATTTAAGTACGAGTTTTGCGGTACTAGGTGTTACTACAGAGTAACATAGAGAGAAAAGAAGGAGAGATATGGCCAACATGAAATATGAGCAAAATGAAAAAATAAAAATACATAATTGACCCTTACAGTACCGAAGACTTATTAGTGGAAAACAAACATGTACCGCACCAGTTAACAACGTTGACGCCATGGTAGTTATTTCTGTCGTGGTATTATTGTAGCTACTGTTGTACTGTTGTAGGTGTTGATGTTGCTGTTGTATTGTTTTAGGTGCAACATTACTGTTGTCAGATTGTCGTGGCTGCTGTTGATGTTGTTATTGTGTTATAGCTGTTGTTGCTGCTGTTGCTGTAGTGATAAATGTAACTAACAAAGACAATTGAAGGGACAAATACTGTTTCTGGGACACTTGGTCTTGAACCTACGTAAGGGCCTTGAACATCTTGCTCTCACGCGAAAAAGAGAAGGCAAAAGAGGAAGAGGTAGACTAAAAACTAGTACCTTAAAGATAAGATAAAAATAATATAAGATATAGATAAGATAAGATAAGATAAATGATGATGATGATGAGGATGATGATGATTTGTTTCCTTAATGGGCCTGGCAGACTCCACGAAGAAATCTTTGAGCGAGAGCGAGGCTCTTTTTCGGCTCCATTGTCAATATACCTAGAGGCATCTCCACTCGTCCAAATAACTTGATGATGATGATGATGACGACGACCAGTAACATAGCTATATAAAGATATTAGGAGAATGATGACAAAAGACGATGACGGACGAGTTACCTTGCTGATGACGGCCACGAGAGACTCGAAGAACTCGTCCACGTTGTAAGTGGCTGTCTCGTTCTCCTTGGGGTTGTAGAGGAGCGGGTGGTGGGACAGGGTCACCCACGGGATGTCCGTGCACCACGGGTTCCACTTCTGTCCAAAGGTCAGTTCTTGACCCTGGTTCCACCGGATCTTGATGCCTCCATGTTCCCGGTCCCTGGAGATCAAGAGGAGATTTTTTTGTAAGTTTAGTTTTACTTTTAGTAAGGGTTTCATGGCACTTGCAAGACACTATGGTCATATAAATGCCAAAGATTAGATGTTTCAGTTGTTTTAGTAAGGTTTTTTTAGTTTTAGTAAGAGTTTTATGGCACTAGCAACACAATAAGGTTATACAAGTGCCAAAGATTAGAGGTGATACAAGTGAGTAACAAACATAAAAAAAAAGGAGAAAAGATAAGGACAATATATGTATGATAGGAAAGAAGAGCAAACCACACCAGAGCACCCTACATGCTCGCGATCCCTGGAGAACAAGAGGAGATTTTTTTTTAGTTTAGTTTTGCTTTTGGTACAGGTTTTTATGGCACTTGCAACACAATATGGCCATATACGTGCCAAAGATTAGGTGTTTTAGTGGTTTCAGTAAGGTTTCACTGAGCTCCCAACTGCATAAGGTCATAGAGCGCCAAGGGGTGGATGTCAACAGAGAAGTCCTAACGGGGAACTAGGGTTACTCTGCTCACCTCTCTAGCCCCAACAGCACAAAGTCTGCTTCGACTATCAAGGCACCACGGAAATTGAGAGAGGGACAAACATACAAAATAAGTAGAGCAAAAAAAAGACGTTTCCCCTATGTTGTGCCGGCACAGTATTGATAAATCAGCCCATTTACAATTCTACTGTGCATAAGAACATGTTAATACCCCCCCCCCCCCTTGGGAACGGCCTCAAAAGATTTGAGTTGTTGCAAGAGATTAACAAACACAAAAAAAGGAGGAAGAGAGATAAAGATGATAGATGCTTGATAGAAACATTTACATCCTTTTACAACCTGACGGTAAACCAATTTATAATGAACACTGTACTACACGCATCAGTATGATTTTAGCCTTAGTCTTACAAAGGTCATTATGGTATGCAAAAGAAACTTTGCGAAAATTTTTTAAAATCTTGTCACAATTTAGTGGCCAGCACCGTTACATGGATTTCAAAACATCAGAAAAACAGCAATCTCATTAGTAAGAGATATTTTGTTCATTAGTTCAAATGTTTTCCCCAATAAAGCCATGTCTGAGTCTCAGTTTCACCTGGGTGTTACAAATAATAGTCCAGACTACAGGCAAACAACATCCCATAAAAAGGCTACCGATTCTATCAGATGATTTTATCAGCCTTAGCTAAAATCAGAAAAAGTTGTCAGAATCTAAACTGAAGCTCTGTACCCAAAAATCCAACAAAATGTTGGGCGATTCTGTTTCAAACCTACAATAGCGCATTATGTTTCAGTACGACTTTGGCTTTTCACTGCTTTCAGTAAGAATTTGGTCGCATTTTTATGTTTGTTGGTTTGAGTAAAGAGAAGAACATCAACACAATAATTGTCATTTAGTGCTGGGAAAAAGTAAGACAGACAGACAGAAACAACAGAAGGGAAAGTGAAGAAGTAGGACCTACCAACCAGTGGCACCCTCCAACCACCCACTCCTTAGTTTTAAAGGATGTCAAGATACAACAACCCTCTCAAAACTTTCTAAGTAAATTTTTGTTTGACACGTGCAGTTACAGATCACAGGGCTTTACGATTCGCTAGTCTTGAACAAACTGGTACATTAACATTTGGGAACAATTTTCTTGGAAGCAAATAAAGTGAACAAGAAACTTCGCCAAAATTTTTAAAAATCTTGTCACAATTTTGTGGCCAGCACCATTACATAGATTTCAAAACATCAGAAAAACAGCAACTTCATTAGTAAGAGATATTTTGTTCATTAGTTTGAATTTTCCTCCCAAAATAAAGCCATCATAATCCAAACAGCAACAACCCAAATAGAGCAAAATCTGGGTCTCAGTTTCACCTGACAGTTACAAACAATACTGTCTAGGCTACAGGCAAACAACATCTCATAAAAAGTTAAAAAAGGCAGCTGATTCAATCTGATGATTTTATCAGCCACAGCTAAAAATAGAAAAAAAAGGAGTCAAAATCTAAAGTGGAACTAAACAAAAAAACCAGTGTTGCGCAATTCTGTTTCAAACCTACCTTGGCCCCCTTATCCTTTTGATGCTGTAAAAAATACTTTGGTCCCCTTATCCCTTCCCTATTGGATAGAGTGTGCCCATTCGAGATCAACATTGAAACATTCCTGAATTTTCTGCTATTCACAGGTATTCAAAGTATGGCAGAGCCATTTGGATGTCATGTGATTTCAGTGGATAATGGATCTTCATATAATTTTTCTCAACCCTTGAAAAAGTAGAAAATATATGTTTAAAAATCATCAAACTTGATGATTATGATACTGAATAAGTGGAGCCCAAAAAAATTATAAAACATGCCTCCAAAGAGTATTCCCTTTTATCCAAAATTCACTCTTCACACCACTAACAGCGCAAAAACTCATTAATCTTGAAGCACTGTGGATGGCTTTGCAAGACACTAGCAATAGGCTGTCACAATGAGTTCCCCTTCCCCTATTCAAAATTTGAAGTATAATGAATGGTGATGAGATATCACCATATCACACTGCATCCACAAGATCATCAGAATCACTATTTATATCACACTTAGGGTAGACCTCGTCAATACCAGCATCTAATTCACACAGATCTTCAAAATAATCAATTACATCTAGAGTAGTAAACACTGTTTTCTGAGTGCATTTTGTCCCGCGCTGGCCAGGCCGGAAATAAGGTCTCGCTCACCGGTGTACCGGTGGCTAGGAATATAGGCAGTTTCATGTGCCACCCAATCAATTATCAAAAATCCGGAAAGCAAGCAGCATCTCACTGCGCACCAAGATTCGACTCTTTAACTCCAACGTCAAGTCTATGCTCCTCTACGGCTGCGAAACTTGGTAGACAACAAAGACAGTACTGAATAAATTCCAGACTTTCATCAACAGATGTATGAGGAGTATTCTAAGAATTAAGTGGCAGGATAGAATAAGAAATGAAGAGCTGTGGGAAAGGACAGGACAAAGGGATAGAAGTAGAAATAGGACTAAGAAAGTGGCGATGGATGGGACACACCTTAAGAAAGCCCAGCGGAAACATCACAAGACAGTCGCTGCAGTGGAACCCACAAGGAGCACGAGGCAGGGATAGGCCACAGGAAACATGGAGATGCGTAGAAAGGGACATGAGAGAGATGAAGCTCACTTGGAATGAGCTTGGAAGGATGGCTCAGGACAGAGATAAATGGAAGGAGCTTGTAAGTGGCCTATACCCTGCCAGGGGTGACAGGCATTAATGATGATGATGTGCCATCGGTCTACCAGTAGCAAGGGCTCAAAGTAGGGTTACGGAAATGTGTACGCATCCCACTTACGGCATCACTGACGAATTTGGGTACTTGAAATCTCCGACGTTTATGGAGTTGATGATGTGCAGCATGATACGTCGGAACTCGTACAGCTTCTCATTTATGAAATTGTACTTGATCACAAAGACGGAGTAGTCAGTCAGGAAAATTATCTTCTCTCTCTCCAGGTCCCAGTGGTCAACCCTGCAACAGAGACAGATTAATTCACTAACATTTGGACTTAATTTAACTACACCAACAACAACAACAACAATAACAGTCATAATAATTATAATAATGATAGTATAATTTGCATAGGGATCGCATATCATCATTAACAGCAAGCTCTTTCAATTGCACTTTCAATTTTAAAATCATAATTTCCAGTGTCAGCATCCCTAATATATTAAAATCATCACTTCTCTCAAACCCCCATTTTCCTCCATTACAGCCTGTAACTAGAGACACTTACAACATAACTAAAAAACACATTTTTGTCAACTTTTAGAAGGGAAGCAATTGCAATTTTTTTTTAAGCCAAGTCAAATTAGGGATATGTTTCTACCACTTCATTAATCATTAAATGTTCTGTGTTTTCCATACTTGGAAAAATCAGGATGCTGCTGAAAACAGAATGCTTAGACTTAGCGTTTTGTGTACGTGTGTGTGTATTCCCCTTCTTCTACCCCCCTGCCTTTCTCTGCCTCCTAATCCCTATCATATGACTTTTCTAGGCTAAGCTTTTCTTTTTCTAGTTTCGATCCTAAAGGCAATCTCCAAAACAAGGATGAAAAAAATTTGCCCACCACTTCTGGAGCTGTAGGGCAGATTGTAAAGAACAACATTCACCATAACAAGCAAAAATGACAATGACAATCTTTATTCATCTCGCAGGGAGAAATTTTTTCTTGGTCGTCAACAATGGCAGTAGACGTAACAAAAGTTGGACTTAAAGGTGCACTCACGCAAACGCACAAGACAGGACATGGGGCCAAGTAAATGCAATATGTCTCACGTGC